AATTTAAAGAAAATAATTAATTGAGAAAGTTTTTTTTTTATATTTATATGCATATAAAGATTAATTTTGCGTTATTTATCAAAGCAAATGAATATTGTACAGTTTTATAAGATATATTTATCTTATTAAATACATTTAATTTTTTAATAAAATGTGAAATAAAACTATATTATGTTTACGCACACGCTTCAAAGTGTATAAGAAATTTATCTGACATTAATTTTATCCGTTAATCTATTCGATAATGAACAACGATTAACAATGTAAGTATTATCCTATCTATTATATTTATCAATATCTGGTAATCTTTGGAACATGCTGATCGCAAATAAACCAGATATTAGGATTCAATTTTCATCATTATTTTCCCTGCACTTCAGTCATGATACCTCACTTCTCCTTCACTTTGCTGTAATCTCTCATTAATGTTCCCTATGAGAGAGAGAGAGAATATACTCTGATAATTACATAATTACATCTCCCATCTCTCCTGTAACGAAAGGCCTTCGTCGAGTAAAAACGAGATACGACATTGCAGGTAGGAGTGATTACTAGATTATGTTCTATTAATTTTTGCTTTGGTTTAAGAAACCGGTGATGCGAGTACACCGCAACGAATGTTTCACCACGGAAACATTATTTAAGCGTGTATTGAATGTAACATAGAGTCATGTAACATAGAGAATTATAATAAGAAATTGCACTATCATCACTGATGTCTCATGTATTCCATTTTGGTCGGGGGATTTTTCTAGGTCACATAAGCGGTATTACTATCACAATACATCCACTGGGACATTACAGTGGACTTATCCTGACACCGGTATTGCCGGTGGTACTGAAGAGATGGAATTATGTACTACTCCGCCACCAGAATCAGAAGAATTATTAGTCACAGGTATGTCATTTATGGACGTAAGATATTCTTTACAACAATAGAAATATATAAATATATAAACTATTTAGCCTACTTCATCATCACTGTTATATTAGAATCACCTGGGACAAAAAAAATTAAGGAAAAACAAACTGAAGAGGTGGATGATAATAAAGCAGATGAAGAAAATATAGCAGATAGACGTCCTGTAACTTTGGAAGCACCACCTCCACCACAAATATCTAATCCAAGCCCACCACCGCCTCCGAGAATATTCGCGGAAGATTTAAAGAAGGACAAGAGGAAAAGGGATAAGTCCGACGATAAATTTTTGGACGCAAAGAGGAAGTGTTTAGGGAAAGGTAATGAATTATTAATACTAATACAACACGGGATTTTATAATTACATTATTATTCATATTATAGCACTATTTGTATGTATTAGCAAATCAATTAGTGTTTTTTTAAATTATGTTTTGAGAATAATATAATTATTAATGCTAAATATAATTTAATTATAGTAAAATACAAAAAGAAAGATTTATTGTTTTTTGTTCACAGATAGAATCATTACTACGGATACACAGGTGATAAATCCTACCTTAGAATCTTTACCCTACGCACATCCACAGGTAGCTGTGTCATCTCAAACTTCAATACCTTTGAATCACACAAATATGGAACCTCTGCCACCTGGAGTGGATTTGCCGGAGACATCCTACGAAGCTGCTACCTTGAAAGGGATAATATATAATGCGGCATCGCAACCAAGTAATGCGATTTACGCACCTTCGATTGCTGATCCAACAATACCTATTCTAAGCCATCAGGCGGGTCTGCTCCAGGAACCATTTGTTCATTATCCAACTTTTCATCAACATTTGCATAACGTAAGTACATTTCTATACTTGAATATTATTAATTAGGTGTCGTGTAGAAAAAAAATGCATTGATGAATATATTATTAAATATATTTTCTTATAATAGGAATGTAACAAACATATAAGAAACAAAAAGACAAGTATAAAATGTATATAAATATACATGTGAAAGAGTTTTATTTATGCAAGTACGTATAATTTATTTATTTGTTAGCAGACACTCGCAGTTGCAAACAAACACAGTGGACAGAGTGCAATTCAATTCATGGTGGGATATGCGCCGATTTATACGAACAACAAAATCATCGCCAAGCCGCCAGTCAAGGCCTCGAAGGAATCTTTGGGATCTGCGCTTGATTCCTTTTACAGCGATATTGCGCGTATTGAAAAAACGGAAACAGAACGAACAGGACAACTTCAGGATATCGCTGCTACGATAACGGAGCAAGTATCTGTCTCAACCGAAGAAGCGAAGCCGGAAATGGAACTGGAAACTGTGCCAAGCGATATAACAATGAAGGAACGGAAGAAAAAAAAGGTAGTACTTCTGCTTATCATCGTATTTATTTCTTTCGGTACCATTTTCCTGATATAAAAATAATAAAAAGTATTTATAGAAAAAGTGAATTTTACACATTCCAATTTTTCATGCTATGTTAGATTAAATATATTTAGTAATTTTTTTTTGCAAATGAAAGTTATCCAATTATTTGTATACAACAAAGTAAATCTTTTTAAAACCATAAAATTGTTCAGAAATTCTTTCAAGTATACGTATTTCAATGATATATATATATTGAAAAAGTCAAATGAATTAACATATGTCGATGAGTCAAATATTTAAATTCATACTTTTAGACGAGGATTAGCAACAGCAAAAAGCACAAGGAGATGTCGAGCATGGTGGCGAAGTGGCAAAGGGTACAAAAGAATCTAGAAGACACTGTATAAATAATAGAGAAAGCGATTTAAATAAAATAATTGATAACTATACGAGAAACGATATTACATTGACTGTGTTATTAATATCTTTAGATTTCATTGTACATATGAGTTGTTAAATATTTCTTCTATTGTGAACTATTTTAAGTTTTTATCTATGATCTGATACGCGTATGTATTTATGTGTTGCACGAGTCTCGCAGTAATATTCGTATTATTGAACATAGTACTTACCTCTTGTGCGACTATTATCTATCTTATGATTTATTATGAATTTTGTGATAACTTTTATGCAAGTAGAAACAAGTAATCTACTATTATGATCATCGTTATTGCATATTTATTATATAGAGTCAAAAATATGTGAGTGCATCTTTCTAACTTGATGCATTTTTTCCAATGCCGAGAGATACTACTTCATTGAATCGATGTAAATTATTTTTGCATATGTATTAAACGCGATAGTCTATTCTTTACAGAATGTAAAAAATGCAATTCTTTACATTGGCTTTATTGCAAACAAAAAAAAAACAAAAATAAATAAAATACAACATTTGATATTTTATTGTCGTTTTATGTTGAAAGCTTTAAAACTGGAAAAATTTGATTAATAAATTATCTTATGATTTATAAAGATTGTATAAAACATGTAGCATAAATATATATAATATTAATTTTTATAGTATTTTTCTTATCGCTATTACAGTATTTATATATAGTATGTACATGTGTATAATATGTGTAATAATGTTCGATTATTTGTTTAATTTAAAACTTCTGCATCTTTATGTTTCATTATCTGTGAATGGTATCTATTATGTTATCATTCGAAAATTGACGAAATTCCTCACTTACCGAACTGTGCTATCACGAAATGATTTTTTTAGTTACGCGTATCGTCGTCGACGTCGTTGGCGTCGCGAAGACCCATCAGCCCATCACCGAGTGGCGAGTATCGACGCGAATCCGCCAGACGAACCCAGACGACCAGTGTTAAAACGTCATACCTTGTGATTGTTACCTTTCGGCGTTATAAATTTATATCAGCGTCTCGACAAGTTCGACAAGTACATGGTGTAACTTGAAACAACGTTTCGGCGTTTCCATCGTGACTTGTCCATCTCTAATCTGATCCCGGCGCATTCAAGCTCGGCTCCGTTACGTCAACCTCACGTCAGTCACGTCGTTAATCACCGCGAACGCGGGTACATATATACACAGTGTCGACTGTGGTGATGCGGTAACCCGTTAATCAGTCCTTCATTCGACGTAATCATGGACGCCGGTGATTTCGTTGAGCATTAAGCTTGAGAGAAATATCGGTCTAAATTAAAGCTACGCTTCGCCTAAACGATCATTATGCTTGCGCCGATCCGCGTGCGCCTGTTGCTGTTCTGCTATACTACGAGCGATCCCGTGGCAAAAGGTAATGATGGTATTTGAGCGCGATCTCTGTGTCTCTTTCTTTCCCTCTGTCTTCCTCTTTGCTTCTCACATGCTCCTCTTCCGTCTTCCTCGCTGCGCAGCATCGACGTAAGCCCCGTGTTTCATTTTCAACCGTAGGAGAGAGTGCAGATCGCGAACGTAGATTCGCGCCGGTCAACAGGATCCTACTAGAAGGCGAAGGGCGTAGTACCTTATGACGAAGCCATGTACACCTGCCATCCCTTTATCCTTTGGCTGACGGCATTCGATATTTTCGGGACATCTTACTCCGCGAAATTGATCGAGAACAACAAATCGCTTTGATTCACATTCTTCTTGATTTTTTTCAATTGAAGGTTCAAGGTAGACGATTAATTTGCCACTTGTCTTGCCCATCAATTCCGTGTTAATCGGGTGCACTGGATGTAAACAGATAATTTCTATTTTTACAGTGTCATCTTTTTTTAATTTCAAAACTTTTTTTACCTTACAATAAATCGAGAAATTCTTTTTTTATTTATTGTATTTAGAATATTGTCTTGATTATAAAAAAAGAGGGATACTAAAAGCTAATAGTGAGAATTAAAGTATAGTAGAACAAATTTATCGGATCTTTTAAAATGTTTTTTTAACTAATTTACCTTTTATAATGTACCTGTTTGCTAGTTATATTCTAAATTGTAGTCTAGCGACAGTAAAATCTGATTTTAGATAAAATGTATTAATTATTACATCTATTTATCAGTGTCCAGAGATTCTACTGGAAATGCTAAATTAAGATTTTATAATCCAAGTAAATATAAGATAAGAGTATAATTTATGAAGTTTATTTGAGATATCTGTATCTTTTTTCGAAGATCGATCTCATACATATTATGGATTTATTGTATTAAATATAAGGAAATTGACTATATGAACTTCCACGGTTGTTAATGTATAAATGATATATTTATAAAACGGTAAGATATTTGCGAACAATTAATAAACACGGAAACTTATATAGGCAATTTACTTATATTTTATTCGTTCTTGAAGTCATAAAACTATATTTATTTCAATTTATTTTATTATTTTATTCTCGTAAAAAAAATTTTCATTTTTGAGACAGCGATGAATGAAAATAAATAATTTTGCTACTTTAAATAATATTACTAATTCGGTGTTATAATACCTCAAGGCGATGTTCTTCATTTTCCACGGGGACGATTTTACGCCTTGGGCTCCTGTGCCGTTATAAATAAATTTAGATAAGTCTCCACTTCTCTCTTCAGTCTATGACTAGAAACAGGACGTAAAGTGCAAAGTGGAAAGCCGCGTTTGAGATCGTTTTAAAGTGAATCCCGGCCTATTAATCGCTTGAGGATAGTCGTGTATTCATTCTGCTGGTCTGACGACACCGATACGTTGATATAAGATAATAATAGTCGTCTGTATTTACATCGCAGATGCAGCATCAGAAAACGGCGAGTCTAGGCACGTCGAGCAACGATATTCGTCGACAAATTAAGCTGAAAATTTAGTGCTGAGAGCATATATTTTCGAGTCCATCGATTGTTACAGAAGAGACAATCGAGACTTATACTTTCATTTACGTTCGAGTCTACGTATCATTCACAAAAGAACAAATTAAAAATATTCTTTCCGCACATTATAAAAATTAAATTCGCTCTCGTGTCTTTTAATGCGCGAGTTTATTTAGCGAGAATCGTGTGTTTACGCTCGTTTGCAGGCACACGTTCGTCTGCATGTTCGTTTATTCGTTCGTTCGTTCTGCTCAAATCACGCTGAGTGTCAATTAGCGATGCCGACGTGAGCGTTCTCGCCCGCACGTTGGAACGAGCCGGCACGTTAATTTTAGCGTAATGGATCGATCTAAGAGGAGGATGCGTTTTTAAATAGCCTCCCCAAAGAGATCTATCGCGCACTCGTTATTTCGGAACCACCATGTGAAAATATATATATTTTAGAGAGTCAAGATTATAATATTTACTAAATAAAATGTATTCCGTAATGTTTGCACCGGAAAATCAGCGTGGAATTTGAAGCGTGATAGATTTGCGATATGGCAATATGAACATGAATTGATGACATTATTTATCGTCATAAAGAAAAAAGTTTCAAGTAGATTAATGAGTCAGCATTGCGATAAGAGTAACACGCACGTGAATAAAGTTTCTTTATATTTATTGTTAAAAGTTAAAGAAGAACCTATCAGCATTAAAGTGTCCTTGGTAATTTGCAACGATTCGTGATTTATTTGAAGAGCTCGTAAAATTATACTAATGCTATTAGTGAAATATTACGAAAGCCAAACATATCCGTAACGTTAATATATTATTTTTTTAATTTTATATTTATTTCATTTCTAAATTCTACGTATAGTTTATGTAACATTCACGTGTCATATGTTCTCGCCGTATCATTTCTTCTGTTCGTGCCCTAATTGTCCCTATGTACAAGATACGCTATAATTGTCTACAATTAGCAACATGATTGACCGTAGGATGCAACGAAGTCAGCTGAGGGACCTCTCATCCTGGATGACGCGTTTATTCCCGGAGCCTGGAGACGGTAGTAATCAGATGACCGAGGGATTCAAAATGTTCGGTTCGAAAAACAGCTCGCCCACTAGCACGTTTTATACTGATCTAGAAATCACGGAGGACAAACAGGAATTTCAACAGGAGAACGAACATTCCAAAGCACCGGAACAACAGAGCACAACCAACGAAAATGGGAACTCGCAAGATTCAGACACAGCAACAGGTGTTGAGGAGCAACGCTACGTCAGACATTCCTTCCACAGGATCGCCAGTTTCGGTGGCTTTCCGCGATTTCAGTCCTTCGTCATGTCCGCTTCCACACCCGCCGAATGCATCGATATCACTAGGCATGAGGAAACTTCAACGGAAACGTCTTACATTAAAATGTCGCATAGTGTTTTAGAGTATAGAAGTAGCAGGTGTGTAAAGATCTCATGAAAAGAGTAATGTAATTTACGTATCTTTGATTAAACAATTTTTTTAAATTTGTATCTTTAAAAACATATACAGGTACGTAGCTTCAGAAAGGAGGTCTCATCAGTATACATTAGATACTTACGCGGTAAGCGAATCCGAGAGTGAAGAAGAGTCAGAAGAAACTAGATCTTCAGAAACAGATTCTGCCATAGTGGCTGATCATACGGAAGAGTCGATATCGGAGCCTAAACTACTAGCGAAGAAAGGTTCCCCTGACTCGAAACGAAAGAAGGCATTACGTGTAGCACAAGAGTTACTAGCGACTGAAAAAAATTATGTGAATATTCTGCATCTGATCGATCAAGTGTTCCAATTTAGGGTTGATCAGGAAAACAGAGCGCATCCAATGTTCCCTCCAGAGACTGTCCAACAGATGTTTTCAAATATTAAATCTATTTATAAATTCCACAATGACTTTCTATTGCCGCAATTTGAAGAAAGAATGCAATGTTGGGATTCAAATCCGAGAATCGGTGACATAATGAAGAATTTTGCGCCATTTCTTAAAATGTATACAGAATATGTAAAGAATTTTGATTACGCCATGAATTTGATAAGCACATTGCAAAACAAAGTTTCCAGATTTGCAGCGATTGTTAACGAAATTCAGAAGCTCAATGAATGCGCTAAATTGTCGTTAGCACATCATATGTTGAGTCCTATACAGAGGCTGCCGCGATACGAGCTACTTCTCAAGGATTATTTACGAAATCTCACTGAAGACAATCCTGATTATGAAGACACAAAAAGTAAGTAAAATTACAAAAATATATATTTTTTTGTTTTCCAAAATATTGTGTAACCTATATTTTTTATGAATTATAATTGTTTATTGAAAAACGTTTGTAACGTTAAATTTTAGAGGCTCTAGAGTTAGTATCAACCGCCGCAAATCATACAAACGAAGCAATGAAAAAAATCGATAAATTTAAAAAACTTCTGGAAATTCAAGAGAGTATATACGATGCAACTGATCTAGTTAGTGCGACTCGCGAACTAATAAAAGAAGGACGTATAGTGAAAATTTCAGCGCGTAGTGGAGATCATCAGGAGAGACATTTGTTTTTGGTAATTATTATTTTACATAGTATGTTAACATTTATAAAATGGATATTCAATTAAAACTATTTATCTCTTTCCAGTTTAGTGATTTATTATTACTCTGCTCAATAAGACTGATACCCGGTCCTATGTATCGATTAAGAGCTAAATTTATGGTGGAAAATTTACAAGTAGTTGAGGGAGACAATCTAGAAACCGCAAATACTTTTTATATAAGGGATGAAAATAAAAGTGTCGAATTATATACACATGCTGCCGCGGAAAAAGCAGCATGGCTGGATGCACTGTTCCAAACGATGCAAGAGATCATGAGACGTAAGGCCAGTCTGAAAACTGGGAATGTTAAAACTTCTTTGGTTAAAGCTGATGATGTAACTAGGTGTATGGTTTGCGAAGTTAGTTTTTCTGTGATGAAGCGAAAGCACAATTGTCGGGCTTGTGGAATAGTAAGTATTATGAAGATTAATCTCTCGTGACAAATTATTTTATAATAATAACTATTCAACATCTCTGTGATAATTTCATGTCTTTTCAGGTGGTTTGCAGTAAATGCTCAAATCAGAAATTATTATTTGAAGACAATAAGAATATGAGAGTATGCAGATTATGTCATGCCGCGCTCACTCAACCGCTCACCAAATCACCGTCGTCACCGTCTGGACCAGTGCCAAGTTTGCTACAGGTATCGGCGAGTGCGCCATCAGTATTATCCGGATACCTGTTACTAAAAACGCAGGCCAGTAAGCCTTGGACAAAACGATGGTTCGCATTGCACGTTGATTTCGTTTTGTATTCGTTCAAATCCGAGTCGGAGAGTATGGCTATGACAGCGACGCCCATGCCGGGATTTATGGTTACGGAAGGTACAAAATTACCCGATGAAGATCCTTTGAACACGAAAGATCGGATAAGAGCATTCAAAATGCATCATTCGAGAAAATATTACTATCTCCAAGCATCTTCTCAAGAGGATAAAGAAAAGTGGGTATCGAAATTCTTTGAATAATTTGTATGTTGTGTAAAAATAAATGAATATTACTAATATTATATGTTCATGGAACTTACAGATGGATGCACACATTGGAGTTGGCTACGAAGGCTGAACTACCTCATCTTATGCAGGTGGAAAATGAAAGCGCACAAGAAAGTCAATCAATGAACGATGTACAATGAATATGCGTACCTTTTTATCTACCAAACTAGCCAATTTTTTACTATTATATTCGTGAATGAGAAGACGATATGGCAATGTAAGATAATCGTTAGTAGTTAATTAGCTATATTTAAAATGACGTTAACTCTTATGTTATATATATATATTGTTATTAGTATATATGTACACTACAAGAGAGAAATCGAGTCAATAGCGGCTGCTGCCGAAACGCTTGTTGTTTTGTATAATGTTCTGTTATAATATATTTATAAATATATATGTCTATCACGATACGCTGTGCTGACCGTAATTTGCAATGGAAGTCGATACATCGTAATGCTTGAAAATTAATTATGCGCTTCAGTGATAGTATGTTATTTAAGCTACGAGATTGTTATTATCAAAATCGATTTTTTAGACACGCAATGGATTTTATAGTTTTATCAATAAATTTATTCCGTCAATTAAAATTTTCATAGCTCTTAAATATATCTTAAAAGTAGTTCCTATCTAGTTACGAATATCGCAAATCATTACATTACAAATTTTATTACATTCACTGGAGGCACTTTGGTATAAAAGTGCATTCGATTGTACTAATTATATTGCACCTGTGTATTTATCACGTTTTTTTAAATTGCACATACAGACTGTCAGCTGCGTATGTGAATAAGTGATGGCATCATTGTCATTTAAAACATCTTTTTTGTTCGTTTTGCAGAGTGTAATTCGAGAGGATTCGTGATTAGCATCACTTTTACAGTTAATAGGGCTAATTTGTCTTAAAAATTTAAGACAAATCGCATAAATTCATAGGTATGTCCAGTTGATATATTTGTATAAAAAAAGAAAATTAAGACATATCTCTTTTTTACGTGATAAATTTTTTATAATCGACCTATTATACATTTTATTAGAGCCTAATACTGAATGCCAAAGAGATTTACAAAAATGTGTTCTCTACCTCTGTTCTCAATGGAATAAAGTTTTGCATATTAGATGAGTATTTAGAATTCGTTGCTTTTTACAGAAACACCTTTTTCAATTATTAATTCAAAATCTGGCAACTCTCTCTCTCTCTCTCTGTCTCTTTTTGTGAAAATTAGAATGTACTAATAGATTAAGATTCTGCCCAACAGTTATATCTACATATCTTATAAAATAGCTTGATATCCCTGACATTTATTTCGATTTTATATGAAAACGTAATAGCACGGATGCGATCATCATCGAAGTTCTCTTTGCCGTTAAAGCGCGTCCCCAAGCTATATAACAAAAATATTATCAATTAATAATATTAATACAATAAATTTAGTTAGTAAATTTTTCATATATCTTGTCTCAAGAATTTATGAATTGAATACATTCATAGTAAAATACATTGCAGTTTGACATAATCTATAACTAACAATTTGTACATTGTAACCCAGTATCACTTGCTTAATTTCGATAAACGTCAGTTACATAAAACTTGTAAATAATTTAATAACTATAATCCAATCTTTAGATGAAAATAAAACTATACATAAATGTAAAAAAACACCTGCAAAATGAAAAAATGTATCAAAATGTGTTGTTTTTAAAAAATTATATTTCTAACATATTGAATAACTAAATCAAATAAAACTCATTTCAAAGAACGTGTTCAAACAAAAAAGTTTAAACTTCAATAAAAAATTGTAATAAGTACTACTATAATATACAGGGTGTCTCAAAAAGGTCGGGACACCTGAATATCTCGGAAAATATAAGTTTTACAGAAAAGTGTTTCAGACAATAGTTGTAGGGCTCAAAAAGATCTATTTACTAATCTTATCTTAGTTTAGCCTTGGGCGGCGTCGCCAATGTCAGGTCAAGGTCACATCGATTGTTTTTTAATAGAACACCCTACTTTTGATTCCAGAATCAAATAGCTGGTGTCGAGAACTTTTCGAAAGAACTGTAAGCTATTTTTCATTAAGTATTTTTCAAATTATAAGGCTTGAAAATTACAATACCGCCGCCATTAATATTACGCAAGATGTCCGATCGAAGGCTAAATCCTCTTGAATGTTGTTCAAGATCATGTCCTGAATACCATTTATCAAAATCAAGGCCATTAGAAGGTTATACCTCTTATTTTCATTTTTACATAAAAATGAATTTTTAGTACAAAAATAAAAATTATTTTTGTTGTACAGTGTAATATAAGTGCTCTATATGTGT